AAATAATGTTGCCGATTTTTTATGCATACAACTCTCATACCTATTTTACCTTATGTTGCCTTCCCACACATGGCGTTCCCCTGTCTTTTATTGCCGCCACTGCCTGTCAGGCGCCATTGCTTTCCTATGTAAGACTAACCTGCATCGGCTCTTGTCAAACTCCCTGCGGTTAAAAATCTCCGATGTCAAGTATATTCGTCTTTTTAAAGAAGTACCTACCACCAAGACTGCAGGAGGAAAAAAAGTTCCGCATTCTAAATGTTAAAACAGTGTTAACGAAGAAAAAAGACGTCATTTAACCTTGTTTATCACACATACGTCTAAAGTCTCGTGGGATATCTAGTTATCACAATAATAAGAATTCTCACTAGGTATAATATTTTAAAGAAAAATTACTGTGTTGTACCATTTATAAAAAATCACCATGAATGTACTACTGGATAGGGAATTATTGAAGTCTTGCATCAAAAACATTTAAGATAAAAAAGTATTAGAATATGCTAATTAGGGGCAACAGCATATTGATCTTCAACCCGCAGCACTTGTTGCACTGCAACATGAGCTACAATCGACCTATAGCAGGCAGGTCAAGGTTGCGATCAAGGTATCTAGTTTGCAGGCCCTAGGCAAGGAAACTAGTTTGTGGGCCTTGCACCAGAGAAACTGACACGAGATTTAAAAGTAAGTTGTGTACAAATTGCTCCATATCGGCGGGACATCACTGTAGAGCTGGCCCAAGACTGTCTTTTGGAGAAGATGGCTCATAGTTATTACATTTATCTAAATGAATTTTCATTTTCTCTACTAAAGCAAAGAAATGATCAATTAAATTGTAATTATATAGCAATAAAATTTCAAATTGTGAATTGAGCATTTTGCAATGAAAGCATCTTTATTTTGTAATCGTATTTATAAAAGTGAGTGCAATAATACAAGCCCTCGGTGGCTCGTTGGTTATCCCGGTTTTGATTCCCGACCGGAGCAAAGTAATAACTGCGGGCTTTCCTTACAAATGTCCCAGTATCTATCGCTGGGTGACGATGAGAAACAAGGACAAGGACGAGGAGTAAAGATCGTGCGAGGCCCTTGGTTCTTTTTGTTAGGATAATCCTCCGTCAGTCACCTGGCGTTGATCGGGGGAAAACTACCGATCGGAGCAGTCGGCAGCTACAATGTCCTCCAAACTGATTCTGAAATCGACCTAGCTATCTACCCTAGAGCCGAAAACCTTCCACCGTCGGTACTTGAAACCTTGGACCTTCCGATCAGAGGCAAGGCAGTGATATCAGTTGATCCTCTGAGCCATCTAAGCCGATCGTGGGCGCTTTGAGCTTACCTTGCCCGAACCAGCTTGCGCGTTCTGAATTTGAAGGGGAAATAGAGCGGAGTGAGGGGAAGTTGCCCTTGGGGTTTTCCAAGCCGGAAAGCAACTTGTGCAGGGGCACATTTTGATACCATGATATACAAAGCTATTGTGAAGAGCCTTTCGTATACTATCATAACGATTGGGAATGCATTAAAGAAAATAACTTGTCTTGGCGGCCCTGCGCAGCTGATTGAACATTGAACCCACGCGTGACACGTCTTATGCTTCCTATGTCCCCTGCCTCACGTTCCTCAACCCACGAACAGGTCGCAGACGTCACGTTCCGCTGACAAGGAAATGATCCTTTGTATTGATGTGCGCGCCAAGCAAGACACTCATACAAATCACAAAGACAATGCAATTCATGCTGTGTGTTTAAAAACCTTAATTACCACTTTCTCAAATGATTCTCTTTGCTCAAACCTTAAGTTAGCTTTCAACAATACGTATAACAACTCGTGAATTATATATCATACTATAGATAAAACAATAGTATTTAAATTTAAAAATCCAATAAAATAAAATATGATCGAATGTTCAAAAAAGAATATTTAAAAAGCCTTCATAATTGACCACTTAATACGTGTAAGAGATATTACGACAAATTAATAAAAAATATTGGTCACCAAAGTTAGAAAAACGCAAAGCATCGCAAAGATACCCTTTGAAAGAATTTAACACTAAAATGTTCCAGTAGAGCAACAGTAAGTATTAACAAATTAAACTATATTCCCTCATGTCTATAACCCATTATCTCGATGTGTAATCGTCTGTATATTTAATCAGGTTAAAATATTCAAAGCAATTGAGAAGTAGAATGAATCTTTTGCTATTAAAATGATAGAAAATCTACCCTAGAAAACCGACTTCCTGCCAGTCACATGATACTAAATAATCAATATCGAACTACGTCACGTGATGAATTAAATTGCGTCACGGCCGGTGATATAGTAAAGGACAGGCTTAAAAGAGTGCTCGGTCACTGGTGACACCATTCATGAAGGGACACAGCGTGAAAAGTTCCGTTTAAAATAATTCTTGATATAATTTGATAGTTTTATTTTAAAAATGAAGGTGATTATTTTAATGATAATTTTATACATTATTCTATTGAAGATTCCTTTCAATATTATAAGTCATTATCATGGTAAAGAATGCAATTTCCCTCACATATATAAGATTTCGTCATACATTATATTATTGTTGTTAAACTTTGTCAGTTATTTACATTTCTCGTATCCATCTAATTATTAAAACAAATGAGGCTTTCAGCAGCAAAAATTGTTCCTGAACAAAACCTTACAAAATTCCTGAAAGTAGCACGCACACCGGTCAAGGACAATAAAATACACTCTTATAACGCTGCAATAATGTTGTTGTTTAAACGGTAACCGCCTTCACGTATACAACAATAATATAATAGTATATTTGTTGTTGTGTTAGTATCTATTTTTTTACACACCACGTATATCAAGAGTTAGTGTTCCGTAACACATGTTAATAACAAGTAATTAAACGCGCGGGCGCATTATACCTTGGAGCCTTGCTGTCACATGACGCCAAATAGCACTCATGATACGTGACACATGGCACAGCGCACACGACGAATGGCACATTTCGTAAGTTACACACTGAATTCGAGAATTCAGTCAGAATTCAGTCAGTATACGAGTAGGCGAAATAAAAGAACTAAATATTTTTATAAGTTACATAGTTTTCTTCGATTTCAGCGCACATTCCAAATTAGTAATATAGAGTTTAAAATGCAAAATAAATATAATTTCATTTTTGACGGGTAGAGGGATGAGCGCAGGGCTCATTTTCATATTTTGCTAGCCTTAATTCACTGAGCAACAAGACATCACAACACTGTGATGTCCCTTGTTGCTTCTAGCAGTTATATGAAATACTACTTGATAATTAAAAAAAACTCGAGAATATGATTGAAGCACACCCCCAGCAAACACTCTCGCAAGATAGTCTCGTATGTGTCAAACAATTTTTCGAAAATGTGAGTTGGTTTTGCAATATTTTGGAGAAATTTAGGGACATTTTAAATAATTATTTTCACAAAAAATTCTTAATGTTTCCTTAAATCTTCTCCTCTTATGAATTAAAGAACGGTAAAAAATAAAATGCTGATCTCATTTTCGAAAACTCTGCATTTTAGAAAATTGCAAATAATAACATAGCAAACTGACAATAGCAATCATAGAGATTTTTGCCTTAGATCAAATCTGTTCCAAAAATTTGATTAAATTAGATTTTTAAAACAGGTACAATGATTTGAAAAAGAGAGTAGTTTCTGCTTGAAGTTAAAAAAAATTGCTATTCATATAACAAATTCTCAAAAGTGACTCCAAAATCTTTCTTTAAATCATTACCGGGAAACTCCGTATACAAAATAACATAGTATTGTATATCAATTAAGTATACTGATAAGAAAACGTGGTGAGCTTAATTATTCTCTCAATTTGTGACCAAAATTCAGGAAATGGTTATCACAAAGATCTGTGAAAGTTAGAGCTTCTTCATTCTAATTTGTGTATTCTACGCTGCAAAATTAATCTCACACAGTTAATATTATTCAGTTACCCCAAAAGTGATTTTTTTGTCGACGTGTTATTTTGTTGACGTGTGTTTTGTGTAGTGTAATTTGTCTCCGGTGTTTTGAATAGGGTCATTTTAATAGCTACCCGGTTCTTTACTGCGTTCTCAGTCTTTGCGCCGCTTTGTCCCATTCCTTCATCTCTTCCATCTCAAGTCATTCGTTTGTTTTCCTTATGTTCTTCAAGGGCTGTATTCGCCGTAACCTTCTCGTCCACCGCCGTCTCCACTACTTCTACCGCTGCTGGCGGCTCCTGCCCGATTCTTCATCACTGCCCTCCCCTTTTTCCGCCAACTCGTTTCAATGCGTCGCCTCCGTTTTGTCCCCGTCTTCGCAAATACCATTCACATCGTCGCGTCCGCCACCTCCTCGTCCTGTGGCCGCTTGTTGTCCGCATTCTCCTTCGTCGCCACAGTTCCATTTCCGCCGACCGTCCCTCTACTGCCGTCACGTTTTCTTTCTCCGCCCTCTCTTTTCGGCCATCACTTACTTCACTCCCTGCGCATCCTCTTCCTTCTCGTGTTCTTCCTCCACTTTCAACTACCAACATCTGATATTAAGCCAACTTCTCCTACACCACCGCCTCCATGAAACCCTCGACCGCGACCGATGCCTCCAGTGTATCTTCACCTCCACCAAATTCAGATCCTTATCCATCACAACCTCCTCCGCCGCCGCTGCTATTCCCAGTCACAACATCGCCTCCCACGCCACCTCATCCTCCCCCAACTCCCACTTCCCTACTTGCTCCTCCGCCTTCTCTTCTGCTTCCTCCTTCACCGCCACCTCCACCTCCGCACCTTCTCCCTCCGCCTCCGATCTCCAGATATTCCATCGCCTCCCACGCAACCTCCTCCTCTCCCCACTTCTATTTCTGTGCTCCCTCCTCCACCTACTCCTCTACTTCCTCATTCCCCGCCACCTCCACCTCCCGCTTCCTGCTCCTCCGCCGCTAGCTAACCTCCTCCTCCCGCAACGCTATCCCTCCCGGCCATCTCCTTGACCCGCACCTCCTCAACGCCAGCGGCCAATTCATCACCGGTCGCCTCCTGCTCCGCCGCGCGCCACCCGAGCGTTGAACCGGCGGCGTCCTTGCCGCTGGTAGCGGGAGGCCCGCGCGGGTATAAGGCCGCCTCTGCGCGGCGCGCAAGGCAGTCATGCGGGGCGTTGCGCGCGGTTGCTGAAAGCTCCGGGTCGCCTTGGGCCTGCTGGGGGCGGCAGGTGGCGGCCGGCGGCGGCGCGGAGCCACAAGGGCCGGCGGCCGCCGTGGAAGGTGGAGGGGCGGACCCGCTGCGCGCGGTGGAGCCCGCCGGCCGAGGACGCGTTCGCCCGCGGCGGCCGCCGCGAGGACGGGACCGCGCCGCGGGAGGGCGCCGGCAGAGGGCGAGGGCGCTGGCGGAGGGCGGGGTCCGAGGGCGGGACCAGAGGGCGGCCGGCGGAGGCGGGGCCGCGGGCGCGGAGGCCGAGGGCGCGTGCCTGGTACCGGCGGCGCGGCAGCTGCTGCGCCTGACCGTGGAGGGCGAGGAGCAACAGCGCGCCACGTCCGACCGCCTGGTGGAGGGAGGGAGTGAGTGCGCCAGGCCAGATTCACGACCAGCAACCGTTTGACCTTCTCACACACAGCAGCCTCGCTGTTACACCAATAATAGTAATATAATGAGAATATTAATAATAATAATAATAATAATAATAATAATAATAATAATAATAATAATAATTTGTATTATTATAGTAATAATAACAATAAAAATAAAAAGCATCTGCCAGCAAGTAGAAATCATTGATCCTATTGTCTCAACATGCCCAATTGTAGACCGAATACTTGAAACGACACGACAGGGTGTGTAGTTGCCTCCACCGGCTGATCTGCACCACCCTCGAAGTTCCGAGCACATGCTCCAAACAGTAAGAACACTCACAAAAACCGGGGAAGACTGTCGGATTGTGTATAATATTGTACAACCAAAACTTCAAACTCATCGCACGGTAGCGGCAAAAAAACTGGATATTGTAATCCAGGATTTGGAGAAAAATTCGTGTCTGCTTGTAGATGTCTCTGTGCGGGATCAAAGCATCGTAATCAAGGAGGCAGAGAAACGTCTTAAACTGAAGAATTTGGAAGGAAATCGTTTTAAATGACAGATAAGAAACTCCTCTTCAATTCGCATTCAGGCGTGATCTTTGACTCCGTGATTTAGCTAGTGGGGAAATTCCTGCCACTGTCGGCCCTCAAACTTACGATCTCCGCGTCTACGAGTCATTATGGTAATCGTAATAATTAATAAATGTGTAATGTGTATGAGCTATGTCATTTGCATATTGTATTCAGGGATGAATTGTGGCTATATTGAGTTTCATAATTGAAGCTTCATTGCTAAGTTGAGTTTCGATCATATTAGATCTTCATTATTATACATTTTTGACCTATTTTTTCATAGTGATACGTGACAAAACTTTTTGACTGTTATCATGTTAATGACGAAAAGAAAAGAAATAAAAATAACTGTATGGTTCCTGTTTCACAATATTGGTTGTCCACTATCACTTTTTTCAGCAAGATGTCTTTCGGAGGGGTTCTCGTTTTATTAAGTTTCATATCTTCTGATTGGCTATCGTGATAAAATACTTTCCATGCAAAATTGTTACAGAGTGCCTTTATTTACGAGTCGTCTGCTTCTGAGATAGTTCATTCTCCAAAAGCAGCCGGATTGAACATAAAGTTTCCCAAAAAAATTTAAAAATGTACTATTTTAAAAGCCATAATGATTTTTCGTATGTAGTTGGGCTCGCTTCTAAAGCTTCCTACACCAGGAGGTGTTTGGTCCATGCCCAAACACATAGAGAATATTATGAAAAATCTGATAGGATAATGAGACTTAAGTTAAGTGGCTTTGCGAACAAGAAGTCTAGAAAAGATATTATCCGAAATTTTATATAAATTTTAAATTTTTTATGAAATGAATATTACAATGGGATTTTTTATAGGTAATAGTCAATACATTAACTTGTACAAACAAAACAGAGTACAGAGTTGTAACAGAAGCTGACATTAAAAGATGATATAAAATGATAAAAAACGATACATAAGTTTTAGTTCTAATTAAAATCTTTTCCGCTGCTTATCTGTTTCTACATCTATGTTTAGCTCTAGCGTTGCTCATAGGCAGTGTACTAGCTTTCCGCGGTGCGATCCCGGTCGGGAAGCAATAGAGTTGTCTTATATCTTTCCTTCGACATTATCTTTGTTTCTGTAGCTGTGTGACGAAGAGAAGCTCAGGCAGGCGGAGTTTGCTAGTTATGATGAAGGGAATACGTGATGTTTCCCACAAGTCTCTCTTACCCGCTCCTTCAAGCGTGGAAATTAATTAGGCCCAGGCAAGGTGGACCCAGTTAGCCGGCAAAATCGGAGAATCGACCCAAAATGCCAAATACATTTATACGATGATCTTTAATGTATTAATTACCATTTAGGCTGTAAAATTCTAAAAGACTCAACAAGCCTGTAAATAAGTATTATACTACATCATCTTCTGAGTCAATGATCGAACGGGTTTTTCTTGAAGTTTCCCTTATCCTTTGGGCGAATGCTGAAATGGCCCCTTGTTTTGCTTCTGGGCATAAATGTAACATCACTATTTGTGATGGTTTTCTAGAGTTCAATGGCAAATATAGTTGAGTGGGAAACTAGACCAGTTTTCTATCTTCGCCGCCGGGGTACAGCTTCCGGAGTGTCGCGCCATTTTACGGGCACTACTTCCTCAGCGCCTTTACTCCGGCCTGAGAGATAGAGCTATCGCACACCAATGGAGGTTCCTTGAAACGCCGCCCCATTCCCTGCTCAACAAAGAATTATTTACTGCTCTCATCTTCATGCTGGAAATCTTCATACATTTTTACTGGTGATAGTGCAAATGACTAATAACGGTAACTTACTTTTAATATTAACAAACCTTACCATTTTGCAATTAACAATAAAGAACAAGAAGAAATTAATTACATTTTCACTATATTGTAATCACAAAACGTGAGATAAATTTAGTGAATCTGTGTATGTAGTGGTGTGGCTGTAACTTGTCTTCGGAAGGATGTAATATTAATATGAGCAGTACGAAAAGTATACTGGTATCTCAGAATAAATGCTATAAATTCTAGAGTATATAGATGGTGTCCAAAATGAAGTGTTCCTTCCAAAGATCATATTGATGGATACTTCGTATTAGTGTGTTATTTGTATTCTTTGCTCGCGAATAGACCGACTAGGACCACGCGTACATGCACCCTGCGGCTTATCTCAGACAGGCAGGTGCATGTAACTTCATCAGGGAATCGAAATTTAGAATCCCTGATCTTCCATGATTATTGGAAGATGAAATTGTGTTGATTATGTGGGGTAAGAGGACGACACACACACCCACATACAAACACAAATACATCCATGCCCGAAACGGGATTCGAACCCACGATATTCTGGTGCGAGACCGCTATGGCACTACGGCCTTAGCGATCTCGGATCATTCAGTCACTTCTTCCATTACCATTGCTGAAACCAACAGTGCATTGTTGTTCATAGGAACATCACTCGCTTCCAGAATCCTGAGGTACTGTTGGTGAATGGGCATGCAGTATGTCAATTCAAGGATACAATCCGCCAAATGTTTTTCGGACATATTTGCAGCGCTTTTAACTCAGGAATAAATGTTTAAATTAAATTGGAAATTATGTAGCACAGTAATGTTAGAATTGTTGTGTTTAGTAACAGCTTACCAATGTGTTCCTACAGCATTGCAATGTGTTGCCATAGTTTACTAATGTCTATTACACGAATATATTTGATAATTCAGTAATTATGTTGGATTATTAGATTTTTTAATAATAAAATAACTCGTCTTTCGATTAGTTATAATTCACGTGGATTTTCTCTGGAGACACGTAAATATAATGTGAATTTGTCCTGCAAAAATATCTCTTTTCAAGTTGAAGGTGTTTATGTAATGTGTTTCTCCCATTTAGCCAACATTCCGGCGCAGCCGAGTGCGCAGAATAAACATAAAGAAATCAATATTGCAAATGCATGCCAAGGAGTGTCTTCTTTCATGATGCATGGACGTGGAGGATGGTGAATAGTTGGCTTGTGGTGTGTGATACAGAAACATACCCCTTTCGTGGCATACCCTCGAGCTGGAAGAATGAGCGGTGCAGTTTTAAACACAGGCGCAATCAGGATACTTCTGTGGGGCGGATGCTATAGGTGTAGGGACCAGACGACTTTATTTTCTTATAAAGAATTTATCATTTATGCTAAATTTAAAATTCATCGTATTTGTTGATTTACGGTTATTACAACTTATTCAATTGATGTATTAAATGACCTTCGATATAGAAAAATAGTAAAACCTAAAAGCGTGCAACAACAAAATTATACAAAATGATTCTCAAAAAGTAGCATATACACTACTCGATAACAAAAAAAAATACTCCAGAATAACTTCACAATAAACTCAATAATTTCACAAAATTTTGTGGTTACGTAACGCAACTCGTGAATCGTAATAATTTCATTGGTGCACAACCTTTTCGTTGGAACATTGTTGACGACTGACGTTACTTGTGTCGTAAGGAATGAAGCTCTGAAAGCGAAAATTCTGTAGATACGCGCTGTATAACACATAACAGGCAGAATAACACAATAAAATATTTTCCTTTTTCAGTCAAGTTCGAAAATGTTTAATTGTATTTATTTTCGAGTTCCTGGATATTTAACGAGATACCTCTCACAAGGCTGAAGGCTGCTTAGTTTTCTATCAGTTTCTGGGCTCATTGAAAAGTAGTAATATAGATGTTATTGTTTTTTACTGAGTTCCTGAGTATCTAACAAAAACATAGACACCTACATTGCCGGAGACTGATTAGTTTTCTTTCAACTATTGAGCGCATTGGAAAGTCAAAATATAATCTGTACTTGTCAATACGTGTCAGTGCACCTCAGCCCGCGTGGTTTCCGCCTCTACGTTGAAGCTCTTACAAGCAGAAGAAGAGGAACTGGACGAGCTGCAAGGCCGCTACGATGAACCACGTCCCCGCCCCCTCTCGCACTCACACTTTCACGCCACGCGCGAAGCGTAGATGGCAAGCTGAGGTGCGTAAGTCCTGGTGTCGCGAGCCAGGGCGGAGGGCAACGACCGATCGCTGACTCCTGCCAAGCCCCCTCCCCCTCCCCCGTCGCCAGTCACGGTCACTCACCCCATTGCCACCACCGCCACCATCACAACAACTGTCACGCCACAATCCATTACATCAACGTCATCCATCAAATGCACCACATCCTTACTGAGCATCCACCGCAGCAATCGACGACCTGATCCTTTCTCGGTCGTGATGATCTTCACTCCATTCAGGAAATCGATATCGCAAATTCATTAAACGTTTCTAAAGACTAATTAAAAATAGATTAGATGGTACAAAATGAACATCAAGGATTATTATATATTGGATAATATGAAAAAAATATAGTTTAAATAAATGAGAACTGCAACAGGCAAAGTACAAATAAACTACTAATACTAACAAACTAAGAAAATAAAATATATCTTCGTGGTTTCGGCCGGGATCTTGAGGTAATTTATATTATTGATGTATGATGGAGGTAATCAGACCACAATGAATAAAGTACAAAGTGTTTATTTAGTACCATACATTATACACCAATTCCCATATAACCATTTTTTTGTCGCAAATTGGCCATCTAGGATCACGGGGTCAAACATCTGCACTTACCGAAGCTTTGTCATATTTCGCCCGTGGCAAGTGTATGAGACTCCTTTTTGGTGGATTAGCATTATGCTAATCCGCTTTGTATCCCCGATGGTTGCTAGTCCTGGGGGATGGGAAATGGAATGATGATAATGAGGGATGAATGGACGACACACACATAAAGACATACATAAACACACCCACGCCCGAGGCGGGACTCGAACCCGCGAACGATCCGACGGAGATCGCCACGGCTCTACTGCCCTAGGGTTTTCGGCTATCCGGATCGGTATTTTTGTGTATAATAATAATAATAATAATAATAATAATAATAATAATAATAATAATAATAATAATTGTTATTGTTATTATTATTATTATAATTGTTGTCAGCCTCTTTGGAGTACGTAGATCAATTACTTCGAATATGTTTTTTTCTTTATGTTTCTTCCAATATTCCTTCATCTTTCCGATGTTGTCTTTTTTCTCTCTTCCGCCACTTTGGCCCTCTTTTGGATTTTGTTTTTTCTGGGAATTTGGTCTGCTCATCTTGAATTATTGTTCTGAATTGTTCTTTATTTTCAATCAGTATTTTTTAATTCATTCAAGTCTTGTAACATTAATTTTAAAAAAATTTGCTCTTCGTTTTTTAAATTTAAAAAGAACTCAAATATTTGTTTAGTTAGTCTGTTACTATTCATTCTCAAGATATGGCCAGAGAAACTAATTCTCCTCTTTTTCATTGTATCTGCGAGTTTTTTCTTGGTGTGTTTCTACAAAAATGTATTAGAAATTAACTTAATTTTATTAATTATTTTTGTTTTTAAAGCCTAGTATTTTCCTTAAAAGTATTTCATTCTTTTTTTTTCTGAACGATCTAGTAATCCTCTGTTATTGAGGGCTAGTGTTTTAGCTGCAAATAGTGCCTCTGGTTTTATAACAGTTTTATAATATTGAATTCCATGACAGTATTTTTTTGTTTTATGTATCTTTAGTTAATTGAAATGCTATTTCATTTTTTGGGTCCTTGCTTCTATTACTTTCTTTTCTAATGCATTCCAACTAATGCATTCACCTAAACATTTAAATTGTCCTACCCTTTCGATGTTTTCATTGTTAATTTTTAGATATTTAGGTAAGTTTTTATTGTTAATTAATATTTTTATTTTTCAAAGTATATTTTGAGTCCTACTTTAGCTGCTTGTTTTTGTAATTCTTGGATTTGTCTTTTTGCTTCAGACCAGTCTTTGGCTACAAGAGCCATATCATCTGCAAAGGCTAGAAACTTACATTGAAGTCCTTTATTTCCAATTTTAATTCCATTATTTTTGTTTAGGATGTTATTCCTTTATCTGACTACTTTTTCTAGTGCGCAATTAATAAGCAATGGAGGCAAACTGTCACCTGGTCTGACTCCAGTTTTTATTAGGAATGGTTCCGATAACTTTTCTATAAATTTTACTTTAGCATGTTTCTGTAAGAGTGGTTTTGATTATATTTATGGTTTTATTGTCCAGGCCGAACTCTTTTAGTACTGTTATTAGTAATGTTCTTTAGTTTAGTTTTGGCATTATTATTATTATTATTATTATTATTATTATTATTATTATTATTATTATTATTATTATTATATTATATTATTATGTATAATTATTATTGTTGTTGTTGGTTTTGTTGTTGTAGTTGTCGTTAAGAAACTTTAACAGCAATTCCTTTCTGTGTATTACCTCCAATCTCCCGGGGCCCTGTGTTCGGCCAGTTGACTAATCGAGCGCCGCTTGTTGGTGCGCGCTGCGCAGAGGTGGAGCTGTGGCGGCCCAAGCTGGCCGACGCGGCCCGACGCCGACGTGGCTGGTGCGGCGCGAGCGCTGGCCGCCGTGCGCGGGCGTGGCCGAGGCGCGGGTGGCCGCGCACGTGGTCATCGGGACCTTGCAGGCCGCCCATTCGACCGCGAGAACACGGCTCGTCTCCGAGGAGGAGCTGGACGAGCTGCAAGGCCGCTACGGTGAGCCACCGCCCCCCCCCCCCCGCCTCCCCCGGCACTCACACCTTCACGCCTCGCGCCACGGCCTCGCCTGCGATCGTTGCACATCGGGCGTCGCATTGGTCACTCGACCGGCACAACACGGACGTGTGGGCGGGACTTAAAAAGGTCCTCAATTTCCTTATAAATGAACCGGCCATTCTTGTAAAAAATTGCCTTTTAAATGTTCACAATGTTAAATGTAAATGCGAGTTCGGCTGTTAATTGTTGTAAATAAGCCGCCGCCCCAATGTTCACACAACAGAGATTTACAACCGGCGTGGCCAGGCCAATGATCTGCGCTTAAAGTACATTCCATGCCCCTATAAATGAGTGCGTTTGCGTTTGTCTTGTAAATGAGGGTCGGCGTTTACGAGTATGGCTTGTATGGCTTGCAGATATCAACCCAAAGACTCACAAATATTCAGACAATTAGATATCATCCCAAAGCTCAAACAACGGTTTACAATTGACAAAAGTGAGGCTCGTAAGCGGGGAGTAAAATGATCGTTTAAATGAAAAAGCCGCACTTTCCAGCTTGTCTTGTAACAAGTCTAAGTCTCTTGCCGTTATAAAGTCCACACAACGGGAATTTGCAACCGACACAAGCTATGCCTGAGACCGGGGCTTAAAGGGACCTTAAATATGCCTGTAAATGAACAAGCCGGGCTTGCGAGCGTCACTTGTATCGACTGTTGTAAATCTTCCGTCGCCGTCGCAATTTACATACAAAGGGAATTTACTGCCTACTCTAGTTCATTAACACGATTATAGGGCCTTTGCGATTACTATAGAAAACTTGGAGTCCGGCTGAAAGGTTGACTTGCCGGGAATAACCATTCTCGAGAACGCGGCTGGTTCATTTACAGAACTATTTAAGGGCTCTATCTGCCACCCCATTGTTCTCAGTTTGTGGAACAAAGAAGTATTTACTATTGAGCCAGTAAAACATCTTCAAAGTACATTTTAATACTTCGTCTTTTGAAAACCTCTTGCTAAACGACAAAATCCTGAAGAGGAATTTCTGCGTAATGAGACTAATTACTGGACCCGATCTATCCTGTGTAAACAACTCGTGTGGATGTCTCCCTCCTTGATGCAACCTCGCAACGTGAAGTTGCATGTTTGTTTCGCCCTGCGCAGGCCACCGCATGGAGTGGCAGTCGTACCACGCGCTCAAGGACATCCACCAGTTCCTCGACTTCCTGGCGGAGACGTACCCGACGCTGGTGTCGGTGTCCACCATCGGCACCTCGGAGGGCGGCCGGCCGCTCAAGCTGCTCAAGATCAGCGGCGACCGCCCCGACGCCCCCGCCATCTGGGTGGACGGAGGTGAGCAAGCCAGGGCGCCAGGGCACTCCGATTCGCGAGTTACTCAGCTCGCTTCTCTTGGCGGCGGCGCGTGGTGATCAAGGACGATTCCATAAAATATTTGAGAGAGAAAGAGAGAGAGAGAGAGAGAGAGAGAGAGAGAGAGAGAGGGAGGGATTTTTTAAAAAATAAAGAGAACAATTTTTAAAAACTAATTAATTTATGGTAGTCACTATTTAATTTATGCATTATTTCCACTTGTATGTTTTAATTTATTAACAGTTTAAAAATAAATCATCAAAACGAATTGTTTATTAATATTTAAATTATTATTTTTATACACTGAATTTATTATGAATAATAATATGCATAATGAATAATCATGAGCGAATTATTCACTTCAGCTTCACAGATTCTTACTTTGCTACTACTTTGTTAACAATATGTTAGGCTAGAGAAGCGGGTAGATTTGTTAGCCTTGAAAATCAATTAGGGGGGATAGGATGACGTTATTATTATTATTATTATTATTATTATTATTATTATTATTATTATTATTATTATTATTATAGGGTGATGATAGGTGAATGAACTAGGATGATAGTAGGAGGTGTTAGGTGGGGTAGAGAGAAGTGGGAGGTAGCGGTCATTGCGTTTTTCGAAACGGTGTAAAGTGAACAAAAGTGATTCTTCCCTCTGGTGTACGTCCTTTATGAAGACAATCACATTTGCTCAAAAACAAATCGAAACGAACGCGCCTGCGCAGGGATCCACGCGCGCGAGTGGATATCGCCGGCCGCCGTCACGTACCTCATCAACGAGCTGGTGCTGAACCGCGAGCAGCACGGGCGCGCGGCGCAGGCCGTCACGTGGTACGTGCTGGCCGTGGTCAACCCCGACGGCTACGAGCACTCGCGCCAGCGCGACCGCCTCTGGCGCAAGAACCGGCGCGCGCCGGGCGCCGGCGCGCGCTGCGCGGGCGTCGACCTCAACCGCAACTTCGGCTACAAGTGGGGCGGCGCGGGCTCCAGCCGCCGGCCCTGCGACGAGATCTACGCCGGCGCGCAGGCCTTCTCCGAGCCCGAGACGGCCGCCATCGCGCGCTTCGTCAAGTCCACGCCCAACCTCAAGGTACGCGCCGTTGCGTGATGCCGGGCGAGGAGAGAGGGTGGTTCATGGCATTGGTGATGCTGACCGTGAGGCTCTCGGGTTCGAGTCCTTGCGGTGACAGGATTTTCGACACTAGCTAGAGAGCTAGGTCGAATCCAGCCGCTCCTGGAGGAGAATTCCAGCGGCCGGCTGCTCTGATTGGTAGTTTTACTTGGTTTCTTCCATCGACACCAGGCGAATGGCAGAGCAGTACCTAAACAAAAGGGCCACGGACCGCACGACATCTATTCTTCCCCTTCCTTGTCCTATCCTTATCCCTTACTTGTACTCACATACACTAAATTGCACTACACTACAACACATGCCGGGAGACCGGTCAAGAGCTTAGAGCTTGCCCTGGCTGGTGCGGTGCACCGCTGGTGGAAGATGCCTGGTTGAGAAAAACTGGTTGCAAACGTGTAGGTCGGCACCGGATGTCACAATCCAGAAGGTAATATCAACGCCACGACGAAAACATGCACTATACTTCCAGGAATAATAAAATGACGCGTTGACGCCCCCGAAATCCTGAAATAATTAATCAATCAAGGGAGAAAGAGAGAAGGGAAATATAACCCAGCACTCTGTTAACTCAGAATTTCGCAAGTCCGAGAAACCATTGCTAACTGGCGCTGTTTCTTAAAAAAGCCTTCATGTGTGAATTTATTAACATAAATGCACCTTACCGTTGCCGTTACACTTAAAACTTTCTCAGCACATCAATTTTACTGAACAAACCATAGAAATATTTCGGTTTATTGAGTGCAAGCTCAAACCAACGCCACCGTTAGAGGTTATAATCTAAGTGCCCACTACACGAGTAACTGCCAGAGTTGACTAAACTGGGCCGAGCGACAAAGAGTGGCTACCAAAACGCATGCGAAACGATGCGACACCCGGTGGCTCCGGTTACACCGCTCCAGACGACACGCGCCCAACTGGCACCGAGCATTTCAGCCAAGTAGGCAAACAGTCGCTTAACAGCGTGCGGGTCAGTCGATAGCGAGACAAGCTGTTGTTCCCAGTGGTTTCAAGGGTGCTGGTGAGATTCACACAGGTAGACACAGAACTACCCATACCTCACTCTTAACGACTTCGAATAGACCAGCCAGTAAGCAGCCAAACCATCCAGATGTACGATAAAAGTACCCGACAGTCCAATCATCCCCTTGCCAAGGCGCCTTACTGACCAATGCCTCAACCACCCAGCTATTCAAAAGCCTCTCAGGATCCCAGTTGTCCTGCATTCCAGCTGCCTAGATGTCAAGTATTTTAGTGATTCAACGGCCCAGCCGCTGAATCGCCTTGCCAGGCTGCCAGCTGCCCAGAAGCGCATGCGTTGTCCCAAACTCCCCTCCTCTTTGTGGCTAAGCTCAAAACAAATCTTATTGTGCTAGGGGATGTAGTTAGTTAAGATTGTCCTTTTTTACACATATTAAAAGAAGGCGTTAAAAGTTTTATTGGACAATGGCCAGAATTGAATGCACTTATACGAGCAGACTGATGTGCGAGCTGGTTCTAGTCACGTTATATTCGTTGCTAGTCAATGATTTCCCTTGTCATTATTTTTTTTTCATGTAACTCAGTGTTTCCATTTATCTGCTTTGAGGGGACGTGTAGAAAGTACGGTTACTGCAGTTCTCGTGCTTCTGCGAGAGTCGCTGCCTATGCTGCTGAATTATCTTTCAAACCCTCCAACAAAAAGGATTTTTAGATGGACGGATTCTCTGCAACATTTTCATTAAAAACCAGTAAAGTATCTAGAGGTAATTTTAAAAACGCAATTTTCTTACAAGAAAAACCAATCGAAGAATGTAACTAAAAAACCTTCCAAATGAATTGAGAGACATGAGGGTCTCACTAAAAATTTTGCGATGAGCAGAATGAGGTTTTACCAATACGATGAACTATTATAAAAAATTGTTTAAAACACTTTGGGGGGCCGTAAGCACGTCCTTAACCTACCTACTATATATTGCCCCACCCTTGCTCCTGTTCACTGTTTCTCTGGTATGCCTCCAAAGAGTCTTAACATATTTTGTGTATCATGGACTCGATTGCATTTCCAATCCGCCTGCTGCGCTGCTCTCAGCCGTCCGCTTCTGTCCGCAGGCGTACCTGTCGTTCCACAGCTACGGCCAGTACGTGCTGTACCCATGGGGGTACGCGCGCTCCGTGCCGCCCGACCACGAGGAGTTGCGGCGCGTGGGCGACAAAATGGCGCGCGCCATGCGCCAGGCGGCCGGCGGCTCCTACCGCGTGGGCCCCGCGGGCGCCACGCTCTACCCCGCCGCAGGTGAGTCCAC